CTTCCCTCCATTTTTGACAATGTCAGGGGGAGGGGGTTACATTTGATACCCTCCAACCTACCGCGACTGTTCCAGAATCTACAGAATTTCGGAAGATGATAACCAAACCACCCATTGTTTCCATGGCCCATCTCTTTTAGCACCCTGGGATGTAGATTATCAGGCCGTGGGAGTTTGTCCACTTTCAGAACCATTCATTTTTCCAGCACTTCACTAACCCTAATCTCCCTCAATTCCTCCTCCTTCAAAGACTCTTACTTCCCTAGCATTCCTGGCAAATTATTTGTATCTTCTTTTGCAAAGTTGTTTAATTGCTGCATTTCCTTGTTACATTTATACATAAGTAGATTAATTAATTAAAATTTCAATCGCCCAAAAGTCTCCATGCCATCTCACAACAGCCTTTCCCTATGTCTGGAGCTGTGATTCCTTTCAGTTTCAGAATTTATCACCATTCAGGTCAGCTACCCCTCCATCTTCATCTAGTTGCTGTTGCTAAGAAAGCATATTCGACGCATCGAGGGCAAGATTGGGGTGGTGTCATGGTGCCTCCCCTAGTCTAATTGCACGTTGACTTGCCCCCTGTGCTGTGACCCCAGGAGAGAAGCCTGTAGGGTTTGCAGGAGAGGTGGTGATGCATGGACAATAAGTGCCAACTGATAAGAAAGAAAAGTTGATGTGACTCAGTCAGCAGCCTGGTCTACAAAGGGAAAAACCATTCCCTGGTACTGAGTCGAATATGATTGCTCATGTTTGGAGGGAATGTGCCACTCTTCGCTTCCCCACAGCGGTAGGAGGATGTGGCTGCCAAACTGTCAGGTACTGCAATTTCCAGGAACCCTCCCCTGTGACACATCTGTAGTCGCTCAGCCAGATCAGTCTCGACTCAGAACAGCACTCACATGTACACAGATGGCTCACCATCACTCACGTGATTTATTAAAACAAAATGTTAACGTTAACTCCGATGGCTTTTCACGTTGACTCAGTGGAATGAAACTAGAAAAGTACCCCTGGTTTGCAGACACATATCTACACTCAAAGAAGGCAAAGAAATTGTGTTTGTGGATGGGATAGTCAGGGGAGTGGGGTTGAGGGCGGGATAGAACTCTTGATAAATATCGGGCATGTTTCTTACCAGCGCAGCCTCCCGCCTGACGAGGTGGAAAATTGCTCAGGTTATTATCCTGTCCAGAAACAAAAAAGGACAAATCCAACATCATCAGTGATCAGTAAAGTCTCATTTTTTGGAAGGTGGAAGGTATGATCAAGCAGCACTGAGCCAAAAATAATCTACTGAGTGATGTCCAGTTTGGGTTCTGCTGAGTATCGTTAGCACCTGACCGCATTACAAGCACATAGACAAAAGAGCTGAGTTGTGGGCAGCAAAGTGGCTCAGTGGGGGTTAGCACTGCTGCCTCACGGCACCAGGGACCTGGGTTCGATTCCACCCTCAGGCAACAGTCTGTGTGGAGTTTGCATATTCTCCCTGTGTCCGTGTGGGTTTCCGCGGGTGCTCTGGCTTCCTCCCACAATCCAAAGATGTGCAGGTTTGGTGGATTGGCCATGCTACATTACCCCATAGTGTTCATGGCTGGCAGGCTAGGTGGATTAGCCATGGGAAATCCAGGGTTACAGGGATGGGGTGGGTCTGGGTGAGATGCTCTTCAGCGGGGTGGTGTGGACTTGATGAGTTGAATGGCCTGCTTCCACACTGTGAGGGATTCTATGAATTCCTGAGGTGAGGTGAGCATAACATCAAGGAGCCCTAGGAAAACTGGAATCAATGGTTATCAGGGGGCAAACTCTCTGCTGGTTGGAGTCATACCTGGCATGTAGGAAGATAGTCGTGGTTGTTGGAGGTCAGTCATCTCAGCTCCAGGATATCTCTGCAGGAGTTCCTCAGTGCAGTGCCCTAATCCCAACCATCTTCCCTCCATCATAAGGTCAGAAATGGGGATGTTCGCCAATGATTGCACATTGTTTAGCACCGTTTGCAACTCCTCAGAGAGTGAAGCAGTCCATGTTCAAATGCTTTAAGACCTGGACAATATCCAGGCCTGGACTGATAAGTACTAAGTTACATTTATGCCACACAAGTTCCAATTAAACAATAACCATCATGTAGAGAGAATCCAACCATTATCTCTTGATATTTAATGGTGTTACCATCACTGAATTCCCCACTATCAACATCCTTGGGATTACAGTTGACCAGAAACTCAGCAGGACTTGCCTTATAAACACAAAGGCTACAACAGCAGGTTACAGGCTAGAAATACTGCAGCGAGTAACTCACCTCCTGACTCCCAGAGCATGTCTACCATCTACAAAGCACAAGTCAGGAATGTGATGGAATGCTCCCCATTTGCCTGGATGAGTGCAGCCCCAACAACACACAAGACGTTTGACACCATCAAGGCCAAAGCAGCCCCCGCTTGATTAGTGCCACATCCACAAACATCCACTCCCTCCATCACTGATGCTCAGTAGCAGCAGTGCATACCATCTACAACATGCACGGCTGCAACTCACCCAGGCTCCTTCAACAGCACCTTTCAAACCCATTAATACTACCAGTTAGAAGGACAAGGGCAGCAGATACATCTGAACACCACACCCCGCAAGTTCCCCTCCGTGTCACTCACTACCCTGACTCAAAAATATATTGGCTGTTCTTTCACTGTTGCTGGGTCAAGATCCTGGAATTTCCTCCTGGAGAACATTGTAGGTGTATCTATACCATGCAGATTGGAGCGGTTCAAGGAGGGAGTTCATCACCACCTTCCCAAGTGGCAATTAGGGAATTGCAATTAATGTTCGGTCTAGCCAGGGACAACCACATCTCATGAAAAAAGTTTTAAAACTATAATTGGTCCAGTTCTCTGGTCCTTCCCTTATAACACTTTTTTCTATTGTGTATTTTATTCAACTTATTTTTTAAAAATCGCTATTAATATGCAACCACTACTTTTATAGGCAGTGCTTGCCAGATCACAACAAATTGCAATGTATATAAAATATTAATCACACCTTCTCTTCCTCCAGATATTTTGCCAATGATCTTTAATCAGTTACTTGAGTGGAAACAGTTTCTCCTTATTTATTCAGTCAACACCCTTTGTGATTTTGAACAACTGTTAAAACTCTCCAAAACCGCCTGTGTTCTAAGGCAAACAACGCCATCTCCTCCACATGCATCAAAGTCGTGACTTGGAATAATTTAAGCATTCCTCCACAATCACTGGGTCAACACCTTGGAGCTCCTTCCCAAAGATCACTGAGGCTGCACCAGTAGCAGCTGTTCAAGAAGGCAGCTGACTTCCATCTTCTCAAGGGCAATAAATGCTGGCCTAGTCACCAATACGCACGTTGCTGTGAATGACTGGAAAGAAGAGCCTTGTACCTGGCCCCATTCAAATAAATCTCATTTACATCCTCTCCAAGTCCTTAACATTCTTCCGAAAGTTTTCTGCCCAGAGTTGAGCATGGAGTTCACCAAGGTCGAACCCACGATTTATAAAATATTAGCATAAGCTCCTCATTTTTGTACTTTGTTTCTCTATCAATTGGGTAAAAAAAATTATTTTTGAGCGCTCTTCAGAGCTACATCTGATTTTCAAGGACTACTTTTTGGTTTCAGGGGCTCCTTTCTCATTCTCACTGATTGGGCAGTGCAGTCACATTGTGACAATAGTGATGTTGTTGACACTTGGGGTATTTGGACCCACATGGAAACAGAATTAGAAAACTTACCAATATCCTCAATAACGATCAACTCTCCATTTAACTTAAAGCCACTACACAAAAGGAAAGAATACATTAATTTCTTGTACAGCACAGGAGTTAAAATTGTTTTAACAGGCATAGGCTAACAAAAGTTTTTTCTTTCAAAACAACTCACAAAAAGCCTGAACACACTTTCCCAAATGTTGGGGTTATAGCTAATGCGTTTCCATCACATGCCTAAACTGGAACATTTTAACCAAGCATTTGCAACTTTATTTACCACATTTCAGGGTCTTAACGTCAGGTTTAAATTTAATAATTGACACAGTGTTCATTACGACAGCATCCTCTGCATTTTTCCCATATTGTGGCTCCTGGACATATACAGGCTTAAGCTCCAGATTCCATATTTGTTTGCATGGATATCATTGGCTTGGTGCTTTCAAGTTTTCTTAGTTCCCAGTTAGAATCATAGAATCTCTACAAATGCAAAAGCCACTCAGCCCATCAAGTCACACTGACCCTCCGAAGAGCATCCCACCCAGACCCACCCCATCCCTCTAACCCTGAATTCTGCCTATGGTGAATCCAACCTAGTCTGCACATCCCTGGACACTACAGGGCAATTTTAGCATAGCCCATCCACCTAATCTGCACAGCTTTGGACTTTGGGAGGAAACCCAGGCAGACAGAGGGAGAATGTGCAAACTCTACACAGACAGTTACCCGAGAGTAGAATCAAACCCAGGGTCCTAGGGCTGTGAGACAGCAGCGCTAACCACTGAGCTTTGCTTTGTTGAAAAGTTAGAAACTGCTTTCCCTGTTCTCCGCAACTTCCTTCTCTCCTGTTGCAACTCCCTCACCCAACATTCTTTCCTCGTAGCTTCTGCTTTTGCAGCCTTCTATGTAGTGAACCCATCAGCAGTAAGGACAGTGGAGTTATGTCCTGTGATAGGAGGAGTAACTCCTTACCAATTCTATTAACTGGGTTGACTTCTCTCATTAGTCACCCGAGCGAGTGAATTCTGTCCAGTATTTTGCAGGCAAATCCACCTTTCGCTGTCCCCCATGTATCTGTCATGAGTGAGGATCCCCATATGCTTTCTCTAACATAGCTTTTCCCTGGCATCTTTGAAGATTTATGCACTTGAATAGAGGCCACTCTGTTCTTGTGCCACAAAAGATTTACTTCTCTCATTTGAAATCTCAGTCCGAAGGGGAGAAAAGGCAAAAATCCAAGGGGTTTGGGTGAATCAAGCAGACAATGCGAGTTTGTTCAGTATCTTTATTATATTAAAAAAAGCATTCCTGAAGCACTCGACAATTTGGGTGCAAAAGGAGAGCTGGAAAAATTTATACATCAACTGACACCACCTCAGGGCATCGCAAAGTGCTTTAAAGTTTAAGTAGGGTGACAGCTGAAATGCAAGAAGCCTAGCAGCCAATTTACACACAGCAAGCTCACATGAACGACACTTGTCATAAATAGCAAATAAATTATTTTTCAGCGACATTGAGAGATAAAGTATTGGCTCCAGAGACATTAGCGAGATCTCCTCCTAATCTTTTTCCCACACCATCCCCACAAGAGTCACACCAAACACAGGAGGTGGTCGTTTGGCCCTTCAAATTGTGCAGATGTGCTGTTAATCTCCACCAGAGAGGGCAGGCAGTGGCTCAGCTTAACTAAATCACCAAACCTCTGCCAGCACTACACCCACCTTGTTATTACTGGCACTGGAACTGCAGACCCAGGCCTCTGGAGCTGGTCTGGAACCAAAGGACTGGTGTAGCTGGCTGGCTTTTTGAAGGTATTTGGTCTTGCGTTGGGGGGAGTTGGAGAGCATGTGAGGTATTGTCAGGGCAGACTCTGGGTGTGAGGGTGAGTGGGGAAGGGGAAAGACTGAAGCATGCGGAAGGTGCTTGCTGGGGTAGGGAATTGAGTATTTACAATGCTGGAGGAGATCGCAGCTAGGAGCAACAAAGATAAATTTTAAATGTGCTTCACTCAAAAGAAATGTACAGATTGCAGCTCAATGTCCATCAAGGAAACAGGTCTTCTCTGGAAGTGTTCTCCCTAAAGTAACATGGATTCTTTTAAATCCACGGGGTCACTCCCTCCTGCTACGTGCCTGGCCAAGGCTGACATTGTACCCTTCTGTTTCTGAGGTAGTGGAGTCAGGGAGCAAGGAACCCTTCCATCCCCCCCTCCCACAGCTGGTCTTGGAGGGGCAGGGATGGGATTGGGGGTGAAAATACGGAGGAGGAAGGTCCCACACCGTGTGGGCCTCCCACCCACTGCTAGACAAGGCCCTCGTCACCCTCCTGCCTTCGCTTTTTCAGTCATGTCACGTATTCAGCCCTGTTCTGTCACACCACCGGCTGTCCCCGAAGCCTCACATCGTCGAACGGGCACAGGTCAAGCACCTGAAAAAAAAAACCAGAGGGGCAACGCATTAGCTACCACAGAGAGCTGGAAGAAGCCATTCTGTCCACCTGAGCCTGTTCTGTCTTTCGTGGCCTTTGTACCGTAACCCGTTTTGTTGAAGGGTCCCGACCCGAAACGTCTGCTTTCCTGCTCTTCTGATGCTGCCTGGCCTACTGTGTTCCTCCAGCTCCACACTGTGTTGACAATATCTTGACCTTACCCTTGAACGTACACATTTGTTGCTACTCCACCCTCAAATCCCCCACAGCCTCTTTGGAGAGGAGGGAGATAGCGTTTCAATCCCTACAGTGCAGAAAGAGAGACCATTTGGCCCTTCCAGTCTGCACTGGCTCTCTGAAGAGCATCTCACCAGATCCAGCCCCTACCGTATCCCTGTATTTCCCAGGCTAATCCACCTAGCCTGCACATCTCTGGACTGTGGAAGGAAACCCCATGGAAACACGGGGAGAATGTGCAAACTCCACAGTCACCTGAGGGTGGAATCGAACCCCAGGTCCCATGCGCTGTGAGACAGCTGCTCTAACCACTGAGCCACCGTGTCGCCCCCATGATTTCCGCACCGGAAGAATAGAGTTTCTCTCAAATCAACTCGAATCGAAGAATTGTTTCAAACACCCCAATTAGATCACTGGGTAACGTTCCAGACACTCATCTTTGCTCTTTCTGATACTGGAGTCAAACATGAAGAGTTTTACAAAACAGTAGATAACACAACAAACAGGAACAAGAACAGGCCATTTGGTCCATTGATGCTGCTGCACCATTTTGATAATAATCACAGCCAATCTTCTGCCTCAACCTCATGTCCCTTGATTCCCCACAAGACCAAAATAAATCTGTCTCCCCAGTCTTAAAATATATTTAACGGTGGAGATTCCACAACATTCTTGGGGGAAAAGAGAACGCCAAAGATTCACAATCCTTTGAGTGAAGCCTTTCCTCCTCTTCCTGCTCCTAAGTAAATCAGGGCCTTATCCTGAGACGGTGTCCCCTGTGTCCTAGATTCCCTGACTGGGGTCATGGGACAATCTCCCAGTGTCGACTCTGTCAAACCCCTTCACAATCTTGTACGTCTCTAAACGATCACCTTCCATTCTTCCAAACTCTGGAGAACACGGACCCAATTTCGGCAGGACCCCACTGTTATTGGTGAGGGCCCCCCCACCCCCTCACACCAGGGACCAACCTCGTGAAATACTGGCTCCGATGCAAATATACCCCTCCTTCAACGTGGAGCTCAGAACTGCGGACGTGGTGTTACAGTCATGGTCTCACCAAATTCTTTACAACCGTGCTCCAGTTCCCATGCCTTCCTCACTGCTCGTTGCACGCTGCTTCGGCAGTGCCGTGAGGTTTGCCTGCACTTCCCCACGACACCACCCCCCCAACCCTGGGAAGAAGTCACGTACGTTGCCGTTGCTGCTGGCGAGGTCCAGCGGTGTATCCTCCTCCAGGTTGGGCAGCAGTGGGTTGGCACCGGCCTGGCAGAGGGCAGTGGCGATGCCGGCATCCAGGCGCCCCACTGCCAGGTGGAGGGGTGTGCAGCCGTTGTACATCGGAGCGTCCACTTCGCCCCCGGCCCGCAGCAGACGGGTCACCAGGCCAATCTCCCCCAGCTCCACCGCCAGATGCAGGGCGGTACGTCCACTTGTCGACTCCTGCCAGCCCCAGAAAGAGAGAGAGAGAGAGGTCAAAGAATTAGGCAGAAGACAGGAATGACATTCCCCCACCCCACCCAGCCACAGTTTGTAGGTTGCCAGTCAGCTGGTTAGATAGAAACCGAGAGAGGGAGAGAGTTTATTTGACGTGCTCAGTCTCACAGCTCTCACCCACAGCCGTACCATAGGCAATACCTGTTTATATGTGCTCACAAACAACGTCCACCATGTGTTTCTCTTAACCTGAACAACGTGATCGACTGGACCTCTTCATGGTTCACCCTCTCCATCCCAGAGTCACGTTGAGTCTACCCCAAATGAACTCTGGCAGGGGGGGCACAATGACAGGCGAACCATGTGAAATCTTGAGCCAGTTCCAAGGAGACTGCTACACAACGCGAAACTTCAATTAACCTGAAGACACAGGCCTGGGTTCAGTATTTCAGGACTGTCGGGTGCAACTGGGAACGAGTGAGCAACATGGGTATCGGGGCCCGAGTCAAGAACCTGCTCTGCTTGTCGGCAACGCGTCTGGGTCTGCTGCACTAGAGCCTGTGTAACAGGGATTGAGACGAGGATCTCCCCCTGACTTCGGTCAGGGACGTGTACCAAGAAACTTGCTTCTATCCAGTAAAGCCTGGTAGGCACGACGTATGTGTATATGTGCATGCATTTGTGTCGGTGTGTGTGTAAGTGTGTAAAATATGTCTCTCAGTGTGTGTATGTATACTCATTGTGACTCATAGAATCAGTGTAGAAGCAGGCCATTCAGCCCATCAAGTCCACACCAACCTTCCAAAGGACATTCAATCCAGACCCACTCCCTTACCCTATCCCTATAACCCTACATCTCCCGTGGCCAATCCACCTAAATTACACATGTTTGGACTGTGGGAGGAAACTGGAGCACCGAGTGGACACCAACGCAGACCCAGGGAGAATGTGCAAACTCCACTTAGACAGTCACTCAAGGCTGGATTCGAACCCAGGTCCCTGGTGCTGTGAGGCAGCAATGCTAACTACTGAGCCATCACTGGATATATGCACACATATGTGTATGTATCTCTGTATGTATGCGCACGTCTGTAGTTTGGTATGTTGAAGGTTGGTAAGTGGAGTCACGGGGTGGTGTCTGACCTGTGTATTGACTCTCGCTCCTGAAGATAGCAGGTAGTCCACCATCACATCATTCCTATAGAGAACTGCCAGGTGCAAACAGGTCAAACCTGCAGGAAGAGAGATCATTCAGTAAGAAGGTGGAACACGGTCTGGTTCCAGTTTCCCCTTCCCAATCTCAACTGGGTTCATTGTCTTTCCACAGGATAATGAGGGGAGACCTCTCCACCAGCACGAATGAGCATTATCTCAGTGATATATCCCAACACGTGCAGGTTGGAACTCAAAAGCTAGTCCTCAAGGCATCTCACTTGGGACAAGTATCCCCAAAGGCAGAAAGAAAGAATTGTGTTTTTGTGGCAAAGCACTCCATGGCCAGTCAATCACTTTTTGAAGCATGTCCACTGTTGTAAACATAGGAAGCGCGGCAGCCAAGTCTGTGCATAGCAAGATCCCACAAACAGCAACAAGATGACCGCCAAGCAATCTATATATTTTTTTAAATAAAGAAGAATTCTCATGCTGTAGATCGATGGATGGACATTGGCCAATAACTCCCCTGCTCTCACTCGAGATCAAATTGCACCCCACCGGGCAGAAGGGATCATTGGTTTAATGTCTCATCCTAGAGACAGCACCTCTGACAGTGCAGCACTCCTGTGGTCAGTGTTGCCTTTTTGTTTGTACTTTAACGGTTTGAACCCAGAACCTTGTGACTCGGGAGTCGAATGTACCATCAACCGAGCCAGGGCATTCTCTCTCCAATTCTCTGCACCAAGTGTGGAATGTGACCGAGCATGCGGTTAGATTTTGTGACAAAGGGACTGCATTTGAAGGCCCACACCTTGCCAGTTGTGTCTCTCGAGGTTCTGAGGTCCCACTGGGTTGGGGCTGTCACATCCAAACAGGGTGTGCTCTTTGGCTGTAACGGGCTTCGTAAGGACCGGCACACACTCTTCCAGGCTGTACTGGCAGGCCAGGTGCAATGCAGTGTTTCCATTGCGATCCTGCAACTCTGTGTCCACTCCCTTCAGAACCAGCTGCCGTACTATCTTTGTCTGGCGTGTGTACATGGCCAAATGTAGGGGCGTCTGAAATTCAGAACAAATTCTGTTTAGTGCAACGTCAGCGCATAGCTAGCACTCAGTCGGAACATGGTTGGAGCAACGGAGCGTTTCACAGGAAAAGAGAAGGCCCTAGAGCCTTTTCCCACACTATGCCCATAACCCTGTACGCCACTGATAATCAATAATTTATTAACCACTACTTTGAGCCTTGTCAGAGATCGAGTGACCTCTGTGGAAGAGATTTCCAAAGGTTCTCCTCATCTTGGTGTGAAATGGCATTCTCCTTATTTTTAATTTGTGCTCCCTAGGTCTAGATGCCCTGACCAGCATCTCCCCTGTCTATAGCTTTAAGCATTTTGTAAGATCACCTCTCATTCTTCTAGAGAATACAGTCCCGGTTTACCCAATCTCCCTTCATAGGACAGTCCCACCATCCCTTGAAGAAGTCTGATGAACCTTTGTTACACTCCCCCTGAGGGAATAATATCTTTCCTAAGATAAAGGAGACCAAAACTGTGCACAGTACTCCAGGTATGATCTAACTAAGCTCCTATACAATTGAAACAAGTTATACAATTGCTTCTGTACTCAAATCCGCTTGTGATCAAGGCTAACATTCTTATTTGCCTTCCTAATAGCTTGCTGCACCTGAATGTTAGCCTTCAGCTACTTAACAACAAGGACACCTAGATCCTTTTGTACACTTACACTTTCTAACGTATTGCCATTTGATAAATATTCCGCACATCTGTTTTTACCTGCCAAAGTTGGATAACCTCACATTTTTCCACACTATGTTGCATCTGCAATGTTTTGCAGAATCACCAAGCCTTTACAAACCCTCCTGAAAACATTTGACACCTTCCTCACATTCTCACTTAGTTTTGATTCACCTGCAGTTTTGACAATTTCACATTTGGTCCCCATGTCCAAATGACTTTTAAAAAGTGAATTGCTGGGTCCCTACGCAGTATCCCACTAGTCACAGACGGCCAATGAGTCTTTATTGCTACTCTGTTTTATCTGTTAGCCAATCGTTATGCCAATGTATCATCTCCTAAACCAAATGCTGTAAACAACCTCCTCTGGGGGACTTTATCAAAAGCCTTCTAAAAGTCCAAAATCTAGTCCATCCATCAATTCCCCTTTATCAATTTCATCAGTAACATCCTCAGAAAAAACAGAACAACCTTGTCAAACAGGACTTTCCCTTCTCAAATCTATGCTGACTATGCCCAATCAGATCATTTTTATCCAAGTGTTCATTTATCACATCCTTTACAATAGATTTTCCCTACTCCTCATGTAAGGCTGAACGGTCTGTAATTCCCCATTTTATTTCCTCACAACTTTCTTAAATAGGGGGGTGACATTTGCAAGCTTCCAATCTGCAGGAATCCTTCCAGAATGTATGGAATTTTTGCAATGACGATCTCAACAGCCGCTTTCTTCAATGCTCTGGGATGTAGGCTATTAGGTGCCAGGGCTTACCAACTTTCAATCCCATTAATATGCCCAGTACTACCTTCTTACTAATACTAATTTCTTTCAACTCATTCTCTCTAGTCACTTGGATCTGTAATTGAGAGATTTCTTGTATCTGCTGCCATTTCTTGATCCTCCATTATAAATTCTTCTGATTCCACATTTCCTTTTTACGATCCTGTAGAAGCTTTTACAGTCCATTTTTTTTTTGCATTTGTATTCTGTTCTTCCTTTCTTTATCAGTTTCTTGGGTCTCCTTCGTATTCTAAAAACTTGTCTATCCTCAGATTTGTTACTGTTTCAGGGCGCTGTACAAGTCTTTTCTTTTAATTTTACACAATCTTTAAACTTCCTTTATCAACCACAGTCGAATGATTTTTTGTAAGTTTTCACACCTTGAAGCTGTAGGCCAAGTAGTACTTCCTTCAAGACTAATCGGTTGCAAACGTATAGTCATGCCTTTTAATATACTTTTCCCAAATTAGCTCGGCCAATCTGTGACTCATGGCCTCATGATTCCCCTTATTTAAATTTAACACCCTTGCTTCAAATTGAACTACCTCACTTCCAAACATAATGTAAAAAAATTCTATCATATTGTGGTTACTCATTCCGATTGTGAATTAGCCCTTTCTCATTACATAACACTAGAACCAAAATAGGCTGTTATTTAATTCGTTCCTTGACATACTGCTCTAGAAATCCATGTCTGAATCAGTGCAGAAATCAATTCTGTGTACCTTTACTGTTCAATTGGTTTCCCCAGTCTATGTGCAGATTGAAGTCACCCACTCTTGGAATACTGCGTTCAATTCTGGTCTCCCTGCTATAGGAATGATGTTGTGAAACTTGAGAGGGTTCAGAAAAGATTTACAAGGACGTTGTCAGGGTTGGAGGGTTTGTGCTCTTGGTAGAGGTTGAACAGGCTGGGGCTATTTTCCCTGGAACGTCGGAGGCTGAGGGGTGACCTTATAGAGTTTTATAAAATCATGAGGGGCATGGATAAGGTCTTTTTCCCCAGGGGAGGGGGGAGTCCAAAACTAGAGGGGCATAGGTTTAAGGTGTGAGGGGAAAGATTTAAAAGGGACCTGAGGGGTAACTTTTTCACGCAGAGGGTGGTGCGTGTGTGGAATGAGCTGCCAGAGGAAGTGGTGGAGGCTGGT